AGCCAATTCATGACATTCTCACCAATAAATTGAGGCCGAATTCCAGAAACCATCAAAACATGACTATCGATGATCATTGTGAAGTCAGGCGTTCTGAGACGACGGCGCCTTAGCGTCTTCATTGATGCTAATCATCACAATAGCTCTGCTTAAAACACCGTGTAACCAGAAGCGTGAAGGGCTCTTTGCAAGTGTCATTTCAGTTGATCGCTGACCGCTTGCACATTTCAGGATTGTCAATTACCGCACTACAGTGGAATGGATCCGAAAAGCATGCCAATCCTGAAGTCAGAATCGATCTCGCCACAAGCTCCACTCTCCACCAGTCACCCGTCATCCACCTATCGTGACTTCTTGATACCTGCTGCTACGTCGGCATATCAACATCCAATGCACGGCTTTCTTACAGGGTAGCTCTATTGTTGCTTCATTTCTTCAACAATTTTTCTTTAATTTGCTTGAAAAAATACTGCTACATTCTCTTTTTGCTTCGGCGGGCGTTACATGTTGAGAATTTTTGAGTCTCAATCAGCTGCATAATTGCAATGGAGGTGGTACGCGTTTGAATGCTGTGCTAATGAAAGCAGTGATAATGAGCGAGGTGGGAAAAAGTCTCGTTGATGGTTAGCTGAAAGGCAACCCTTCCATCATAGTTACTCAAAAAATATGCTTAACAGAGATGAATAAAGTTATTACGCTAGCAATAAGCACTGAGAAGGGGTCAGCATCATAGCTCTGGCTTCGAAATACACAGACGGCTGACGCTTATTTTTTTCTCGGAGTAAAAATTTTGAAACTGTCAACGTAATTAGCCCCATTCTAATACCTGGAATGCCTTTGCACCCACGCCGAATCGTTAAGAATTTTCTCAACTCAACTATGACAGAAGGTATGAATTAATTTGTTCAAGAAGTTCGTGATGAGCTCTTTTTGTTCTGTTGCGATGTACTAGTTCATGTGAACTGATCAATGACTGAGATTGTTCACGAGCGCAGTAGAGCAGTTCAACGTTTCGAGAATGGCGAACTCATTTAATCAATTTCTATCGTCACGCGTCTTGAGCAATTTCAAACGACTTCCGCTAATTGCACTCCGTCAAAATGATTTTGTCGACAGTGCAACAAACGAATACATACATCTTGTCTTCTCGTCTGCGTATTTTTTTT